CAAAAAATAAATACACAACAAATATGGGTACAAGCATGCTATCTGTTTATGCAGGACATGCAATTCATGAGGAATGTACACTTTATATATATATATATATATATATATATATATATATATATATATATATATATATATATATATATATATATATATATATATATATATATACACACACACTTCACAACAGTTCTTTAAGTGGTGGGCCTTTTTTCAGAGAATCTAGAAAGGATAATGAAGGGTGTGAGAGGTCAGACTTCAAGCAATTGCCACAGAACCTGCCTCTGACAGGCATTCACTTGAGAACGATGAAGTTGCAAAAACTGGCAAGTGTTCTACATAGACAGTATCAGCAATATCGTGTGAGAGACTTGTCACCTCATTCAAGTCGCTGTCACAAATTTTGCTATTCAATAACAAAACTAAGAATGAATTTCTATAGCCTGCATAAGGGCAAAACTATCCTTCAATGTGACAGCTGCTTTGAGTCAAATCAATGCGGTTTCATTTTTACTCAATTGCAATGCCCCATTCACTTCAGCTACAAATTAAAAATCCTTTACATATCAAAACCCTAACACTACTGGCTAAAAGGCAAACTGACTTTAGATCAGAAATGAAAAGCGAGAACGTCAGAAGAACGTGCGAGCTCAATGATGCCTTCAAAAGCAACACATCACGGTTGAGGACAAAAAACAAGACAAACATGCACAAGTTACACACCCATAGTAAATTTCTATAAACACTTCAAGCATGACAATCACCAATAGAAATGCAGCTAGCACGGTTATTACTACATTTATTTGCATTCATTTAAAAAGGTGGAATGTGTTCTTGTGTCTATAGTAAATAGATTTCTTTAAAAAGTATAAAATGAACAACCACACCATGGCTTGCATTTACACAGCTTAACACCTCCAAATTAGAATGCATGAATAGATCATACTAAAGTTAAATTTGCCCATAAGTGAGCATAGCGGCAGTGTAAACGAAACTTCATTTGGTATTACATTGAAGAAAGTGGGCCAGAGAGAATCTGGTGAAGATATCTTCATGTCCAGCCCATGCTCTACATCGATATTTTTTAATCAAAAGTTGCACGCAAACCATTTCGTATTATATTTGCATATGCATGTACCAACACAAAATTGGGTATGGCTTAAATGTAAGCAGGAATGTGCCAAGCAAAACACAAGCAGCATTCACAGCACTACGAACCACAACTGGTTGCTTTAGTCATCAGAAATTTGCCATGTAGACAAGATCACCTCTTCTGCACCACGTTCTCTTCGAACTGCATGCAAGTTACCACAAGGCACTAGCTTAACAATGGTATGCTACCATGCATCCTCCGAAGATACTGCGGCCATGAAGCACTGTTGTGTCAGCATAATGTTTAACACCAATGTGCAATGACAGCTAACATATGAGCATTCATAAAAAAATATAGAAAAAAAACATGCACACACAATGTACTGCCGTTGTGTGCGTTGTTCAGTTTTAAAGTGCACAGTAATCACAGAGACTTAAGCAGCAAAGCATCTATGTAGGACCAAAAGTATAAGACACACATCTGCATTCAAAGTAGGCCGAATCAGAGCCACATTTGGCTAATGTGAACATCCTGTATCACATCATCTCAACAGTCAGTGCCATCTTTACAATTTATGTAGCAGTGCTAAAAAAATCTATAGTTTAATGATTATAACCCACAAATCTGAGTGGAAAGAGAATTTTGGCTTGTGCCATGTGGTTGCTTGCATGACGACATTGGATAAGCAAAATATAAAATAAATTACTGTACTAACCGTACCTCACACTGCGCACAATGGCAGTTTCGAAACCCCAGACCAAATCATCACTGCAGTGGAATGTTGCAACTGTTGTAGCTGCGCCGAACACATTTCACATTAGAAGTGCTCCTGAAGTATATGCATGGTGACAAGCAAACAAACAAAAAAATTGTGCAGCATTAGCCTCCCTGAGCAGTTAGAGGACCGTAATAACCTTCAGCAGAAATATATTGGAAACACACACATAAACACTTATAATCTGGAAAGTGTGCAATTTGACGAAAACTTCTTAAAATTGGTATGCACATTATGCAAGTGATATGTTTGGGCCACAATGTTCTAAGAACAAATAAAGTGAGAACAGCTTTTTTTTCTTCCTGGCGCAGTCAAAATCTTTGGCAAAATGAAGGATCACGACCCCAACAATAGACAGTCCTCTGTGCCTATGGAGGACAAACAAAGTGAAGATGGATATCATGGCATGGTAAAGAGCTAGTAAAAAAAAAAACATTTCTTGCCTACAATAAACCCATTTTTGTAAATGCTGCTGCTGATTGCCAAAAGCATGACATCTATAAGAGATTCAAGTATACCTTGATATTGATCGGCCAATATGTAATAACACAGCAAACATTTAACTTTTAACAAAGCCGGTCCTTGAAATGCTGATTATAAAAAATGTTTTTTTCACAGCTCTCGGGGTATGTAATGCTAAAAAAACAAAGCAAAAATGCCAAGAATCAATACCAGACAATAAGTTGTGTAAACACTTTTATGCAAGATGCATAGCAAAGCTGCAGCCGCATTAGCTTGAAACATTTGTGCATTGAATGCCCATGAAAATGAAAATACAGTACATCTAGAATTCTGTTCTGAGCACACCTGTACTGCATCGTGCCCCCTCAATGTCACTCTGTCACTCACACCATCCTTCCTTTTCAACAACATTTATTTGACTACCTTGGCATACTAATTGGACACATATAAAGTGCTGATCTTGAAAGGCCACAGCATGAAGAAAAGAGCAAATGCCAAACAGGCAACTGCTCAGTCATTGCCTCATTTGCACAAGTCTATAGTCAAAGATAAAGCAGAAGCTTGTTCCACCTCGGCGAAGTGTTTGATAATGGTTCAATTTAGAAGTGTGAAACTGCAAACAGAGATTCTTGATCACAGTTGCTGCAATGACACGTATGATAGCATTGACAAAAACCAAAATGAAGCACAAGAAACTTGACAAGTTAGTGTGAGCTTTTTTTGCCTCCCCCCGAAACAAAATCTGCCTCAAAGAAAGTACAGTAGACTTTTAGTAAATGAAAATCAGTTAAACAAAACTGCTAGTTCAATAGAACAAGCGCCGCCAGCACAATTGGTTTTGTGCTTGGATTCTCCACCTTTGTTCATCTCTCACTGAATGGAATGCACGTCAAACGGAACACATTTTTCTGGCCTCTTCAGGCTTCATTTATCGAGAGTGTACTGTAAAATAGTCAACTGCCTCTATGTCAAAATTTCCTATAAAACGCAAAATTTTTTGCGCCTACACTTCATTTACAAGCATTTTGGTGGTATTCTGACTTTTGACACAAAGTAATCAGTGTAATGCAGCATTTTGAAAGCCCCAAATATATTATTAAAAAAGTTTCACCAAATATCGCTTCCTCACTCAAGCCAGATATGAAGGTTACAGCTGCAGAATAAAACGATTGGTAGTATCAGTGAAAAATTGTTTTGCTCAAGTATACCGTATTTACTCGCGTAAAGAACACACCTTTTTTTGGAAAAGTTGAAGCAAAGTTGGGGGTGCGGTTATTATGCAGGGCAAATTTTATGAAAACGTTTTCGAGATGATCAAAAAATGAGGTAATGCAGAAAAAGAGATAGGTAGCTTAGCCTTTTGCAATTGACATACGCATAAACTGTTTGTAAACATCTTCTTTGTTGCATATTACTCCTCTTCGGTGGTTAATGTCACTATCTTCAGCTAGCTGTCCCCGCGCCGCCTGCACACACCATAGAAGCGCTTCACGGCTAACTTATCACCCAGTCGTTTACGGGAACAGTGGTATCTGCTGTAATCTGCTGCAACCAAAGGCGTGCGCTACAACGCACTTTGCCAACTTAGCAACAACCTTGCACGATGACTGCGACGACGCCATACAGATTGTAGCAAGAAACCAATATTACAGCAAGCTACCACCGAAACATCAAAACAAACCATCGATCATAAGAATAACGACAAAATACAGCTGCCGCCTTGCTGTTCACAAGATAATTAAGTTAGAAAAGGTAGGCTGTATCTTGCGTTCCCTGAAGCATGTGCGGATGACAAGCACGAACGGCAAATTGCAACTGAAGCAAGAATCGGGGGGTGCCACGTACCATATCACGAAAATAATCACAATCTTTCTTGGGCAACAAGCAATTTTTCTTACTGGTTTTCCAGAAACCTGCGACGTGATGGTGATAAATGGCCCTTTGCAACCGCCATGCATGGTGAGAGCAAATCCTGTCGTTATCACTCGAAAATTTCGCGCATGTAGTTGGACCTTAAAGTTTCGTACTTGCAGGAAGCACCCATCGCTTGGCGGGGGCAGTTTTGTGACCTTCGCTCGCTGTGTGCTTATCAGCTGCAATGTATCTACACTCGCATTGTTCGTAATAATAAGTGGGATTTAACATCCCAAAACAACCATATGATTATAAGCGTCACCGTAGCGGAGGGCTTCAGAACTTTCGACCACCTGGAGTTTTAATGTGCACCCAAATCTGTGCACACAGGCCTACAGCATTTTCGCCTCTATTGAAAATGCAGCTGCCACAACCAGGATTTGATCTCGTGATCTGCGGGTCAGCAGGCGAGTGCTTTAGCCACTAGACCACTGCAACGTGGTCGCACAGTTCGTGAACCCCTGTGGCATATAGATAATTAAAAGATACTGGGAACGTGCCACGCACAGATGAAAAGAAAAACAATATGGCGCGCGGCAGCGGCGAAAGGGGGGGGGGGGGGGGGGCAAGCCGGGGTGGCAGAGGAGGGTCTGCATAATAATTGAAAACGGAAGAGATCCAACGGGCACAAAGGTGCCATGTGTCGGTTAGCGGGACTGCTGCGGATGAATGTAGAGTGCGTGTTTATTATGCGGGGGGGGGGGGGATCCAAGTTTTGACGACTAAAGTTGGGAGTGCGTTTATTATGCGAGTGCGTTCATTACGCGAGTAAATGCGATACTTTCAAAATAAGGAGAAAATAACTATTTTTTGAACTTGTATAGCATTCAAACCATCATCCACAAGTTAAACAGAAACTGTAGGACCTGATTGAAGGAGTGTTGCCACTAGTTGGCACTGCACTCTTGACAGTAAAAGACAAGACCTCCAGAAGGCGCTACAAGAAGCATGCCACTCCATCTAGAGGCAAAACGATTCTCCATAAGGTTCATGTGTTCATTTATGGCTTTGCAGTGCCTACGAAACATTTGCCGTAACCCATAACCTCCAATCGGTCCACCTCGTAGCACAAATTGTGGCCTTCTTAATGAAGTAGCAGATTTCATAGATGTGCACTATTACTGCCTATGTGACAAACCACACCAATATTGCTCTGAAAAGATAAGATTTGCCAAACGCACTTTTTGTGCTTCCAATCCTTTAACAACTATACTAGGCTGAAAAAAACTTAGAGACATGTTAACTTTAATAAACTTAATATAGAATATTCTAACATCCCCTCATAACATAACACCAAAGTAAAACTGTAGCTCATTTGCGCTATGAATCGAACTGCAGGCCTTAGCACTCTTGCGAGTTTAGTCTTTGCACTCACCACAGCCTGTCTGAGCTAAAACTCCCACGACATAAACCAAAATGTGTTGTTACTCCAAATGAAAAACTTTCTTCCCTGGCAGCTGCAGGAACTTCATAAATATTACAAGCTTCTCCCTCGGATTAGGCAAACTTTTGCACATACTTTCTCACTGTTAAAGTGCGGACAAGCTGGTGCAGCATTGTCAAGAGTTAAAATCACTCATAGGACAGAGCCAGACAAAGCAACTAATGCACTGTTTTGCCTAGTTCTCTGTCCTGCCTTACGTGAAGCTAGTATTCTTGATCACCTTCACTGTCTTGTGCCATTTCTGTTTTCTCCTTTATTCTGCCTTGCTAACAGCCATGGTGGTCTCTGAAGGCAAGCAAATGTTGCGCCTTCTATACAATGTTTGCTTTGTACACAATATATTTGCTATCATAGCATTTATTTAGTATCTACAGAAAGCCAACATGATATAGATGCTTTGGCAAGAGTTGCACAGTGAGTGTGCTGGACGGAATGAGGGACAGCGCATCAGTGATATCAGACCCTATTTCCAAGTAATATACAAGCAGTGAACAGAAATATAAATCTGAAAAATTCACCCATACATCTCCGTATCAGGTAACAGTGCTTTCTTAACAGCAACTCTAAAAAGAGACCGTAGATCAACATGTCTTCACGGAGGCATTTCATTGGCTGAAATGTTATTCTTGTGGTCAATGACAATGTGTAAAAAAGGCAGATTCCAACAAGTGCGACACAAACAAGCATGGCTAGTTTTTAACACAAAAACCTGGCAGCCAATGTTACTGCAACATTCAGCTCTGTATGTTCCACTTTGTTCCACTCTGGAGTCCTGGCGTTGACAGCGATGTCTGTGCCTTTCACTCCTAAGGCAATGCACTCACTGATCATAGCACTGTAGGAACTCACATTTGAGACCGCACGCCGCAGAGCTCAAAACATTTTGTCACAGTTTTCTGCACACTGCCAACTCATCTTGAGTGCGAGCTGCCGTGCACCCCAGGAACCCTCCACAGTCAAAGAGCAAAGACCGTTTCACACATTAGGTCTGTTAATATGCACATCCCACGGCACAGCAGTGTCACGAGAAGCTCTTGAAATAAAACTGAAGCACAAGCACACTTGGTCCCATGGTGCTGGTGGTAGTCATAGCTGCTCTCCTGCAGCTTCTGGCACAGCTTGAAAAGGCAATGCGGTGCTGATGGGATCACAATGCCGCTGCCATGGCGACGAGACAACCATGATGGCAGTGGTGATGTCAGCATTGAAGCAACCCTAAAGATGAAGATCCCAGTCATTTTCTTTGTTTTCATAACTTGGTGTCGGGCCAGACAAGTTTGTTGTTAAAGACCTCGTGGCGATGAGTTGACCATTTGGGACAATGATGCAACAAAGCTTGTTCTGCTCACAAACCCAACGAGGAATGCTACCAGTAAGAATTGACATAAAGTTGTTCAAAGTAGGTGGTGAGACAAATGAACGAAAAACTGTGAAACTTGGAGCAAGGTCACCGCCGGGATCATGGAGTAACTCACAGTGAGTAACGCAGTCACACAGCAGAGTTTGCATAAGCAATACAGTCTCCTTATATTTAAAAAAAATACGTCTCGCTTGAAGGAAACCGAAGGGTAAAGAAAATAGCGTGCTGATTCACAGAAGGAAAGGTCCATTTGTGAGGACAGCTAAGGAATCACGAGGAAAAGAAAAGAAAAAGAGTGAAATTCCATCTGTATAGATCTGATGGGAAAAGGGTGGTAAAGAACCACGATAGTAGAAAAGACTCGGAGCTAAAAAAGTAGACAAGGACGAGAAACACCCCGGCTAGAGGAAGGAGAATATTGGCTTTCAAATGAACAGAATCCTTCACACCATGGCACACGAGCTGGAGTTCAGTGAAAGAAGTCAAAGCTGGAACTTTGTTGCCAGAGGTGTGTAGCTGTTGAAAGATTCAACAATGCCTTTCCAGCACAAAGACACACAGAATGAGTAAAGTGTCACACCTCCTCTAAAAGAATATTACGTAGTCTTTGCTGAACGAATATAACCTATCTCTCGAAGTAGACGAGCCATTCAAAAGGAGAAGTGAAGCTAGAGTAAGGACACAGCAGCACCACTGCCACCACTGCCGCACCACCAGTGGTGGGCAGGAACAAAACCACTGTATGTCTGTCAGTCCATCTCACTCATATCAGCCTTTCCTCGGGTGGAGGCTTCATCACGGGATTCATCTCCACTCGTGCACCAAACATCTCCTGGTTACTTGGGCTATAAGTGCCCCGGGTTGCACGCTTCTTCTTAGCCATGCGCAGAAACACCGTGGCCCCAACAATAAATGCAAGCAGGAACACACATGCCACTGTGAGGCCAATAACCAGCTTCAGGTCTGTGCTGTCCAGTGAAGCGCTGCTCACCTGCACAAAGCAGCAAAAAAAGTGTGAAAGGTGGGAATCCAGCGACAGCATACACTGTAGTTCAAGTAAGTGCACTAAGTCTTCAGAGTTGTTTGCGTCACCAGCCAGAAGCTTAGTGAAATTGGTTTTCATGCCGATTTCACTAAAGTTCTGGCTGCAAGAGACATGATGCTAGAAGTTTAGTTTCTCTAGATAGCCGCAACCGGAAGAAAGCAACTGCAAGTGAAATATACAGAAAAAGGGGGTGCATGGACCAAACACGGAACATGCTTTTCTTTTTGGAACATTCATGTCAATATTCAGCCATGTAGAGCTTACAGAAAAGACTAAAATGAAGGGGGAAAGGTAGTAAGGTTATCCAGGGATGTGCTTAGTTTGCTTTATTCTATACTTGAGAAAGCAGAAAGATGGAATAACAGATAGGATGCTAAACAGTTTGTGCACTTTGGCTTCTGCTGTTAAATGCTTAAAGTAACGGATGGTCACAACACACAAAACCGCCTAAATCTGTCACACAGCCAAGTCCTGTTATTGGAGTGCTGACACTTCTGAGTGCAGACTGAAATTATTTTCATAGCCTCATCGTATTGACCACAGTCCACTCACCAGAAGCGCGCAGGTGAGCCCGTGGTAGCCTGGTGTGCAATTGCAGAAGAAGCGCCCCTCGGCAAGTGGTGTGCAGGGGGCCTCATTGCGGCACGGCTCCTCGAGCTGGCAAGTGTCATTGTATTCACAGTGCGGGCCAAAGCGTCCACTGGTGCACAGACACTCATAAGAGCCCGGATTGTCAACGCAGGTGCTACCGTGCTCACAAGGGGTCACCTCCAGTGCACACTCGTTCACGTTTGTCTCACAACGAGCACCCTGATAGCCAGCTGCACAAATGGCAATAAAAACATCATAAGTTTACTTATAACAATACCATTTATTATAATATATTAGATATAACAATAAACAACGATGGCACCATCCACTTTTGTATGCTTTCTGTGATAAAACAAACCACCTATTATGATGCTCCAGTGCCACAGTATTGGATATAGCAAATGAATTCAGGTAAAGTGCATGCAACAAATGGGTTTCCACACCAATTAGGCCATGCTAGGGATAGTGATGAGAGCGACAAATGCGATAAAGCGATTGAGCAACATACCTAATCACTGTCAATGCAGGAGGCCCAGCAGATAATACATGCCCTCCAGGAAATTTTTTTTACGAAGTACCTCCCACTCGATCATCTACATATCATCTACACAGAGCACTTAGATGGTCTTGAGAAAGACATGCACCTGCTTCATAGAAGTAATCAAAGCTGACAGACTATGCCTTTTTGGCAAACAAGTAGTACATAGTTGCATAACCTTACTTGATCGCAAATGACAATTTCTCATTTCTCTTTCATCTTCTTTTTTTGTCAACCTGCTTACAACAATTTTTGGTTATAATGATGGGGTTTTCTTGGCACTTGGACACAGTTATAAGCGGAATGCACTGTACACTTTCCAGGCCTTGTCCATGACAGTGTTTAGCAACACCAATGCGCTACATCCATTACCTTAAACTACAAACTTAATTTGTATATACATATATTGCTAGTAGCAAAATGTTGAAGTAGCCACTAGTCCAAGACATCCAATTTTCGGTCATAATCTGTTATAAGGGTTAATTCTTGTTATTAGGCAAATAAGCTAGAGAAATTTTACAGTATTTGGTCAAGCACCTAATTTATAATTAAATATTTTTAAGAATATGAGAGCAGTCTGAGAGTCTGACAACATTGATGCACCCGTGAGCCATGACATATCAAGCAGCTAGCTCTGCAAGCGCCTGCATTCCGGCAAACGATATTGTCCAGTGGCCAGCGGCACATTAAATCAAGACATCTTAGTGTTCTTCTGCTTGGCATTGAAACTGAACAATTAGCTGAACAATTAGTAGCTGAAACTGTGATAAAGTTGATGGCTCAACTCATTGCAGCACCTTACATTGCAGGCGCCATGGCAAAATGGTGGTCACGGACAGTGTGAGAGATTTACAGCCGACAACTTCTACGGCCTGTGTTGCACTGAAACGTTCATTTATGGCCCATTTTTCATGCCTGTATAGGCATAACAGGCCCTCTACTTCTAGTTTTCACTGAAAACCACAAATTGTTGGGTGACCGTGTCATGGCCCCTTTAAGAGAAGCGATATCTAGGTACGGCTATTGACCAGATGGCCCCGTGCACTGCTTGTGTCTCTTACCATTTCATACTTCTGGCAAAACTATGCAAATATCTCCAACATGTTAGCCCATGGTTATCAGTTGCATGATCTCGCGAGGTCAGTAACAGCCTCCGACTTGAAGCTTTTGCTCAAAGCCAACAGCCATTTTTAAAACTCAAACACTACACACAAAATAAAAAGTGTTCCCCAAGACGACCACTGAATTGACTTTAATAAAACCTGTTCTGAGAAAATTAAATTCTACAGATGTCTAGATGCAGAATTTCAAATGCAAAGGGTTTTCACAAGTTTCCACAGTGCAAGTGTTTGTAAATGTCACTTCAAAAACACTCCTTGCACTATGTCATAATTCTGTTACCTGTTTGTGACAGTGTATCCGCTAGAATAGATTTTGCCTGTTTTCTTATAAAACAGATTTGATACCAAAAAAGATCTTTTTTTTCCCCAACACAAAGTCTCTGTATAAAGGTTTGACTGTACAAGAACACATGTCTGCAAGTTTGCCAAAACAAACTTGAATGAACAGATGCTCGCAAACACTTACTGCCTTCACAGTCACAGATGAAGCCACCCACGTGCGGCACACAACGTCCCCCATAGAGGCACGGGGTGTCAGGTGAAGGATCAAAACAGTAGTCTATTATTTCACCGCAGTTATCACCCCTGTAGCCGTCAATGCAGATGCATCGATAACCGCCTCTTTCGTTTTCACAGGTGGCACCATGCAAGCACGGTGCACTCTCACAGAAGTCACGGGCACGCTCGCAGTTGGTTCCCTCGAAGCCATGCTCGCACTCACATCGGTACTGAAGAGGCACAAAGACAGGAAAAAAAAAACAATCATGCAAGTACCGTGCAAACGCTGGAATCAGTGCCGCAAAAGCTTTTGCACCCATTCAATCACCAGCGGTACACTGAAACCTGGAACTTAGCTAACATTTGGTACATGAATTCCCAAAAAACTGAAGAATGTTATGGCAAAATAATAATAACAATAATAATAATAATAATAATAATAATAATAATAATAAATTACAGAAAATAATGCTGAAGAGAATCCTCATTTAACACAAGACTTACACGACTTGGTCATTAACATATTACATGTAATGCTGTGATCAGAGTGCTTCCCCCACCAATCATATAATACTAAAAGACTACCACTACCTCTAATTACATTTCAGTAAATTATGCTGCAGAAAGAACAAGACAGGCACTCATATTGTGAAAGGAGCTTCTGTAAACCAGAAAAAATGTATAAATAAAAAAATGGCATCACCATCTTGAATATCACTTACCAGTATCTGGCCACGGTATCTTGAACTTTACAAAATCGGCCCAGAATCTACTTCACTGTCTATAATTAAGATGAACTGCTGTATTCAAATTTAATTAAAAATCTCCTTTTAGCAAACTTCAGGCACTCGAAAATTTAACACAGCAGTAGTGTCACACGAACTTTAGGTCATACTACTGGCACTAGGGTTTCAGTATGAATCTAAATGAAGAGTAGTCATTTACCCTTTATTCCATCCACCGAAGCAAACTTTAGGGAATATGACAGAGTAACCCCCCCCCCCCCCCCAAAAAAAAAAAAAAACAATTTGCAATTTTGACACCAAAAAATCCCCTGTACTCTGACAAACAAGCCTATGGAAGCTCGACGTCGAGCAGCCGCTCCAAGTGGTTTAAATGCCATGCCAAAAATTGTGTTTTCTGTAAATTTCTCACCTTCAATGTACCTTTTCTCGAAAAGTATTGAATCTACTATTTCAATGAAACTTTGTATGCATGCACTACAACAAATTAGAAACAATCTGAACTAAAAAAAAAATTGCTGATTTCATAAAAAGTGAAGCTGTAAAAAAATCACACAGCAATAAGCACCCTCCGTGGCATTGTGCAAGCAGTATTTTCATTTTTTTTTTACAAAAGCTTCATGAAAAGTGTAATATTTTTTTAGTTCAGATGTAACCTGCAAGTCTCTACAACAACACAGTTGAATCTGGTTACATTGCTTTCAGTCGTTTCAAAGAAAAGGTACATTGAATAAGTGAACCACCTTTAAAATTTGGGAAGGGGCAATAGGAAGAATAAGCAACCTAGGCATTAAAAAAAAAGGTGTCCTTTGATACCCAGCGGCATTTTTTGTGAGCACGTAAAATTTTATGGGAATACTTGCAGTCATTTCTAGAAACATAAGCAGCTAGGAACATCAGTTCCTAGCTCTCTCGAGTAGCATGGTCACAACCGAGGCCTTGTGGCAGGCAGGGTCGGTAGAATCGAATTGAAGGTAATGGCCAGTGTGCGTTGGCTTCCTATGAACGGAGAACTCCAAGCTGTTGCGCTTTCTTGCCACCTGGACGTTGAGAAAGGACAGGCAGTGGTCGTTTTCACACTCGGTCATGAATTGTATGGCTGAGTGCACGGAATTTAGGTGTTGTCTCAAGTTTTCAACTTCAGACGTCTTAATGATGCAAAAGCAATCGTCCATATAACGCAGGAAAAGCTGGGGTCGCGGTGAGAAGGAGCCGAGTGCTTTCTCTTCTATGTACTCCATGGTCAGGTTTGCCATCGTGACAGAGATGGAAGCTCCCATCACGGTTCCACTGTTCTGCCTGAAAATAGTTCCTTTGTAGGACAAGTACGTACTGGAGAGGCAGAAATCCAGTAGACGACAGAGCTCGTTAACCGCCAAAGGAGTCCTCTCACTCAGGCTTGCGTCCTCCTCAAGCACAGAACAGGCAACGGAGACAGCTAAGAGAACTGGCACGTTGGTGAACAATGAAACGACGTCAAATGAGACCATGCTCTTGTCATCGCCGATGCTCACATGTGAAGCTAGCTGCACGAAGTGGCTGGCGTCACGGACATGAGTTGGTGTCTTCCGGGTTAGTGGGACAAAGATTTGGTGTAGAAAATTTGAAAGCGCTCAGCATGGGGGGGAAGTGAAGTCTACAAACAATCGGTCGGAGGGGGACCTTGGTGGTCGGAGGGGGACTTGGAGTAACAACCTTCTCCTCCAGTTCGGCTTGCTTTCAAGGATGGCCGGCACTCAGAAAAAACAGATACCCAAAAAACTTCATCCGAGCCGCCACCCGCCGCACAGACAACAGAGGATACAAAAACCCCAATCAACCTTAACTGGCAGCCCCCCGAAACGCGCACCGGTTCCATATGTTCAGGAAACCAGCGAGATGTTGGCACAGATCTACAAGAAGGAAGGGGTTCGCATCACGCACTTGCCTTCGTGTACACTGGGTCGCCTCCTCCCTTGCCAACAATGAACAGGAGCCCCGGTGTCGTTTACGAAATTCCGCGCGCCGAGTGCCCTTCGTCGTCTATCGGCGAGACGAAAAACCTACCGGAATGACTGAAGCAAAATGCCAGCGATGTGCGGAAGTTCTACAAAGAGCGCAGCGCAGTCGCCGAACATGCTGAGACGGATCACCAGATAAATTTTGAAGCGACGGCCATCCTTAAAAGCGAGCCGAACTGGAGGAGAAGGTTGTTACTCGAGTCCTGGCACATACAGAGGACAGCTCATAACATCAACCGCTCTTTCGGAACTTTTCCCCCAGTGTATACACACGGACTGCGCTCCATGGCAAAACGAGAGAGAGGGGGGAGGGGTCATTAGCCACTCCGCGAGTGCTTTGAAGACGCGGCTGCCACGTAGCCTCCGCGGTCACCCCTGAGGAAGGAACCAAGTTGATTCGGAAACATTGGGTTCCTTCAAAACTTTTGGCTGGAGTCTATATCATCTCCGAGTTGCATACCCAACCAGCCAGAGTTCTGTCAAATGTTTACATTCATGTGTAAATGTGCCATGGAAGTGAACTGAAACACTTAATACTGCAATGTGCGAAGTTCACAGACCATGGATCCTAGAGAAAAGACTGAAAAACTTGGAGAATGCTTGAGCTTTGCTTTTAAAAACAGATGCAATAGCATAATTAGACCTTGTTCACATTGTCCTCTCAATCACTAGGCTGGCTTCGCTTTTTGGTGGATGCCTTGGCCGTACCGCATGAAAATGAATGTCTGTGTGCCTTTAAATCAGTCCTTTCAAGCTATCCTAGAATGCCTACTGCAAGTAGACCTGAGAAGTGATGCGAAATGCCCACTATGACAATCATATTCAGGAGTCGGCGAGGTACCCTCTACGGGTCCATATGGCAACAAGCACATCTGTGCAGCTAAACACACTGTTGATGCCGTTGTTGATAATAATGATGCATGTGTGATTTGTAAAACCACCACTCATTGCACAACTGACATGTGTTGATGCCTGGTGTGATTCTATGCTAGTGCTATGCAATATTTCATGTGTTAATGACACTCCTCACACTACATAACATTCGCACAGCATTTTTTTCTTACGCAATTTCGAGCATGAGGGTGGCTCTACGATAGAACTCTTGCTTGCCATGCAGAAGTCTCGAGCTCATTTACTATTCAAACTGAAAATTTTTGTATTCTCTCCTTCTTTGCACCTATCACCAATTTTGATCAAGTACAATGCTGATTCTTTGCTCACAACTGCCGGTGCCGGAATTTTTCTGAAACCAGCTCTTTAACTCTATCGTGTATATATCTATGCAGTCCAGGCATACAGCCTAGAGTCCAGATTTTCTCCCTGTGGCACATATAAAACAATATAGTGTTGAATAGTTCTATTGGTGATAATCATAGATTGGCAAGCAATTGAACTTTTTCATGTGACACACAACCTGTTAATTATGCAAATAGGTTATATAGAATACCATTAGGTGGCAAAATAATTAATAAAGGGTGAATAAACAACCACCTGTATGTAGCAAAAAGACGCCAACTTTCTGGTTAGCTCAATTGGCAGAGAAACCATCCTGGAAACACATTGGTCCTGGGTTCGAACCCAAGACCAGGCTAAATTTTTTGGCAACTAAGAAGATTTCTTTCCGAGAAATCTGCATGGATTTCCTTATGGCTTCATAACCCTTGACCGCATGTCGAGTGGAAACACTCTTTCGGCTTGTTTATCTTCAATCAAACTTACACAAAACCCAACCCGCCTCCCGTGTTTGCATTTCAAACAAGCGTTTACTCGAGTAAGCACTACACCGAGTTTGACTGCAAACCGTTCTTCCACCACCCGCGTTGATGCCAGTTTCAACAGAGTCAATGCCCTGCCCACTGCTGCTGCTTTGCACCAGGGTTCCCTTCGAGGAGATGGTCATTTTTAAACATGATAGTCTTTCTTGGGATATTTCAATGCAAAAATTTTGGTCTGTCTGTCTGTCTGTTTGTCAAGCGAAACGGCTCAAGTACGACCACATTCACAGCATCCATGAACATTGCCCAAGTTCCTGCATTCAAACGAGTGTGATTGTCGATTTAAAAGCAAATATTGCACACATCTGATGCACATTGTCAACACACCAATATTCTTCGGTGTGTTTCTTTATACTAGAAAAGGCATACATGAGCAATGCTAAGAACTGTAGCGCTTATCACGCTGCGCTGACAATGCCACGCTATGCAGGAAAAGGCAAGTTTCCTACGCTTTGCTAAAACAATATGGTGCTGCCACCCACTTTGAAATCTACAAAATACGGCCTCCAAGTTTCATTTTCTGAGATTACAGCCAGATGGCGCTCATGTCTCACGCAACGCCTCCAAAATCTCATTTGTCGATTTTCGCGTGCAAAACATCAAATAAATGCTTTATTCTATTCACTCTTTTTAGACAGGAGACTATTTCGACAACATTTGCAGTAGAACATGCAGATATGGGGCCAATTTTTTTAACTCATTAACCTTTGATGCCTACCATGATGTCGTACATCTTCTATGATGCCACCAGCACAAGGCGTCAAGAAAGCACTATTAGCTGAAGGTGCTATGCTATTATTGTAAATGTTTACCTTTCTTACACTAAATAAATGTGGTAGTGCCAGAAGATTTCACTTAATAATTTGATGACCAAAAATAGCTTTCAGCAACTTACAGCAATCTTTCCGATAGGCTCCTGAGGGTAGCATCTTCCACTGTTCTGACAGGGAGCTTGGTCACATGTAATGATTTTCTGCAACCAAAAGAGTCCAGCACCAAACATGAACACATACACAATATGCGTTATTCAACAAAGCATTACAGATGTCCAATGTCCAATGTACAACACTTAGTTTACAATGCCCTGGCATGGAGAAAGAGAGAGGAAAAAAGTTTGTACCACTTAGTTCTATAAATTAATAAGGAAGAAAATAAACAAGAGGGCATTTACCAGCATAATTGCTGTACAATCAGCATAAAATAAAACACAGCAAAATGTGTGCCGCAAGCATTACAGAAGGCGTAGTGTGCACCCTCCTGTCACCACTATAAACAGGTACGCTCCGCACATTTGGTCTGGCAGCACTGCACGATTCCCCTACATTACGATATTTTCACTTCTGTTCTAGTTCTGATATTTGAAACAAAGGCAACGAAAATGAAAGAAGACAAAAGTGAAACGATCAATAGTGCTCAGCATGTCTGTGCAAACCCCTACCACCACCATATCAAATCTAGTATGCAAGCAAAAATACTGAATGATAAAGCGATGCCACAGTGCTGGCAAACTGAATGTGTGCATCTGTGAAATGTGATGACTGGAAGCAGCGCACTACACCATTGCTAATGCTTGGGCCACGTGCTCCGTTGTGTTTCTTTTCATTTCACACTGATATTCAGTTTCCATCTCTCTTACCATTGCACCAACTGGCCAAACAATGTCTGCTGCAAGAGAATGGCCATTACCACTGCTTTCCTAACATCATCACTACATCAGAATCTAAACATTCTACCTAATATCCTCCCTCAGAACACTATATTCAGCTTCCTGTCTATTCAGCTCATTGTGAGTCCTGTGAAAGTCAAACCTTAAGTGAAATCAACCAGCACCCACATGCTCTTAAGAACAAGACAAGAGGAAAAGATACATTAATCACACAAGTTCATTATGTAATTAATGATCTGCTCTATTTCTTACAACATGGTCCACCTTCTTTCTCAATGCACACTATAGTGTCCTTTTTCCTGACAAATGTTTTTTTTTTTTAATGCAAAGACAGCAGTTCCAGAGTGAACAATGACCAAATACACTGATTGTACTATTCAACTACAATACAAAAAAACGAACCATCACGTGGAATGCATTCATTACAAGTACATGCACAAAGTGAAAATTTCAAAAATTATATATTTTCCTGTATTAATAAAAGGGCACAAAAAACAAATAAAAATTTACGTCAAAGTGAAAAATCAATGTTTCAGAGTGTCTAAAATGTCAATATTGTCACTACTAATCTAGAAATTATGCTAAATGTACAATGCCACATGCACTACGTGTGGGATATTATGGAATGATCCCGATGACATAAAGAGCCCCGAGTACAATTAATCACTAGTGCTCAAACAAGTTGCAATAAAAATATACCCTTCTGTGCAATGAAACACATAATAAAATGCTGCTAGTCTATTTCTTTTCGATTCAAAGAAAAGCCAAGCGGCGTTACCATGGGGAACAGGACGAGTGGTTCAAAAGTTCTGTTGTCACCAAACTGCACTTTGCTCATGTGGTGGTGTCTCAGTGATAGTTTTGGTATCGTGTAATGCTGCACGCGCTTTGCACACTGATGAAAGTCGCTGCGATGGACAGTTTGATAAAATGCCATGTGCATGTCATGTTGCCAAATGCCCAAATGGTGTATGCCGCTTTCACTGCAGCAAAGAAACCGGCGTGACTTTCCACTGGGTGCCATGAAACGAACCCCTACACTCGAAGTGGCTGAGTGCCGTGCTTCTGCGCCAGTGTCGCAAGTTTATGTCCCCTTGTCAGGTTCACTGACAATATCCATTGTGGCAAGCTTCAATGGCCGTTGTTGCTGCTGTAGCTCTTGCTACTTTCGCTCTGCTGCTACTAATGTCGGGGGGCATGCAGTAAAGGCGGGCAACGTTGTGCAAGGCAACTGCTACATCATACGGCCCACCCAGGCAGTTGATCTGAATTCGGTAACATATTGCGGACCACTAAAATGTGATTTTGTTTCAAAATAAGCATTTCCTTGTCAGGAAAGTAGCACTACAAGGTTATTGGACCCTTATTTCCACAATCAATTATGATATTTGGTGTTTCTTGGTGCAAGGGCTATATGATGGCGAAAGAGCGCCAGTAGATGAAACAAACGATGTGGGCTATAGGTATGTTTACCGACTGTATTGGGGCCTAAAATTCTTCGTGCTGAAAGTGGGTAAAACATAGAGGTTTTAAAATCATAAAAGTGACATGACACAAGTTGTGTGGAAATGAGTGGCTAATGGCTCTAATAATAAAGTTATGAAAAGATGACAGAGTACGAATGTCTTCGCAACGTCATTGCTTCCAAGGGCCGCGAGACAGGTGCTTTGTGATGTGTCAATCGCAGCAGCGACCTCTCTTCGGAAATCCTGCTGCAGGTTACCAGGATAGATAACACGAAAGTTACGTACAACTTTTAAAAGCGCAAGCAGTGACTGATGTTTGAAGAGTGGATTGCTACTGATGAACATGAATAGATGAAGCGTTATTTGCTCTCGGTAGCCTGATGAGAAGTGCTTTTTTCATAAAGTGTGTAATTCCTTACATTGAATTAAAATGTGGATAACGGTGAGTGAACAGTGAGTAGGAAAAGCTTGGCGTAAGAAGTTCCGAGTTTTAGGCGATGTATGAGTGTGTCAATATGCCTTGAGAAGTCAAGGTCTAATTGCCATTCAAGATTAGGATCAACAGCATATAGGATCGATTCCTTTGTTTAGTCTGTGAACCAGGTAGACAAGCATAATTCACATTTAGTTGTACTTAAAATTTTATTTACATATTATTGAGATACAGGAATGAGGCACGTTTGCATAGAATGATGAGCGGTTTTCACCAACTCATCTGCCATTTCATTTCCCTTAATTCCGTAGTGACTGGGAACCCATTGAAATGCCACTCAATGATTCAACTTCGTAGCTCCTAAAAGCTCTTTTAGTATAGCGCATACTATACGCACATCAATGTGTCATGAAGTGGCATTTTTCCCACATGCGAGTGCCACCAGAGAGTCTGTAATTACCACCCATTTTCTTAGTGTCATTGACAGTTTAATAAAGCTTACGGCTAGTAAAATCGCAATGAGTTCTGACATTGTTGAAGAGAAGAGATGGCCCAGCCAATATGCATATTCTTCGTGCAATTCCGGAACTATAAATGCTGATGTTGCTGTCTCTTTGGCGACGGAGCCGTCAGTGTACACGTGAGTGTAGCCTTGGTACCTGTCAAACAGATGATGTGACACCAACTCCTGTGCGGCAACGATTCGCATTTCATGTTTGCTGCGAAGTCCTTCTATTGACGTTGGAATAGTTGGTAGCTCGAACAGCCATGGTGGGTACTTTTGGTCCAGTGGCCAATGTGTCAACACAGGAAGCCGAGAAATGTACTGTTGGTACACATGGTGTATTTGAGCTCTGGCACAGTTCACGATGTGTGATATGAGCGGATGTAAAGTGTGTCGCGTGACTAAACGAAAGAGGTGCCGACTGGTCTCAACATTTCTAATTACTATAAAGGTGGGTTCTCTTGCCTCTGCCAGTATCAGAGAACTTTATGTTGCCTGTGGAACCCCGAGACATATGCGTAAGCTCCATGCTTGTAACAGCTGAAGTCGGTGTAGAGACGTCTGAGAGTTGTAGTGGAGAAATGGCGTGGAGTAGGCAATTTTCTGTCGGATTAGTGCACAATGAACGTGGAGTAGAGATAGAGACGCTGATGTACCGCCCCACTTTGTTCCCACTATGCGACGTATAACATTTACAGTGCAGTTGACTTGATTTTCTAGATCAGCAATATGCTGACTCTATCCAAGTTGGCTGTCTAATGTAACACCATGAAAGTGATGCTTTCGTGCGATTTCGATTCTCTGGCCGTCCACAAAAAGTTTCAAGTTTTTCGATGTCATTCTCGTGAATGGCAGAACTACTAATTTGGGGTGAGAAATCTGCATGCCTCGCTCCTTGAGGTAGTCACCAATTGCGCTTAGTCCTTGTTGAAGCCAATGTTTGATCACTTTCAGTGATTTGTGGGACGTCCATATGCATATGTCGTCTGCATACATGGAGTGTTCAAGGATTCGGGCAGCACTTCTGGAGGACCTGCCTTTGCAGCATTGAAAAGAAGCGGACTTAGAACGCTTCCTTGGGGTACACCTCTGCTCATGTTGAAGCGATCCCTGTCTCTGTTATTTGTAGAAATGTATATTTTTCTGTTGCGCAAGAAGTTGGCAATTCATTGAAAGATGCAACCATGAACCCCTAGTGAGGTAAGCCCATACAGCACAGAAGAGTGGCTCACAGAGTCGAACGCCTTTCTTATATCTATGAACGCCACAACAGCCATGTTTCCACAGCTCGTCTCATGTTCTAAAAATGTAACGAGGTCAAAGACGCAGTCCATAGTGCGTCGCTGTCATCTGAAGCCAGCCATCTGTTCTGGAAGAGAGTTGTTAGCTACCACTGTGACCTTCTGTGAACCATTTTTTCCATGACTTTAGATACACAGCTAGTGAGGCTGATTGGTTGGAATGAGTCAAGTGAAAGTGGTCATTTACTGGGCTTTAGCAGTGGGACGATTCTCACGACCTTCCAACACATTGGAATGTATGCCCTCGTCCACATGTCATTACATATCCATAGAACTGGCATGCCGTTGGGGCCTAGATTTTTCAGAACACTGCACAACACGTTCGGGACCTGTTGCCGCTCTTACGCAGGTTAGTGATAGAGCAGTATGCAACTTTTGTAGAGAATATGTGTTATCCAGTTGAGCATGTGATAAAGCGTATGCATCTTGGATTTGCTGCTCTACAGAACTGGGCAGTGCAGTAGTGTTGTGAACCAAGTGCCCAGTTCCAGTTAGAATCATGCAAAACTTATTAGCAACATCCCGTTCGGATAATCCAAGAGATATAGCCAATGCTCTGAGAGAGCTTTGCTGGGATACTGGACGACTTAAAGCAGTAGTTGTTAGCCAGATTTTCCGATGTGGAGTGAATAAGATGGATGAATTGCAGAAATCGCACCATTTTTTCCGACCTAACTTTTTCATGTGTTGGTTAGACTGGAAGTGTGTGGCCCGACTCTCCTCATAATCTTCTAGCCTCGAAGAGCAGTGATAGCGACATTTTGCTCATTTTCTAATTGCTCTTAGGCGTTCATAGTCAGCATCTACACTGGAGTGGCCTGCTGGGATGGCTGTAAACCTTGTCGCACGGGAGTAACAGCTTTTAATGCAGGACATAAATGTATCCAGTTCATTAACTCCCACCAAGTCATGTGCCGTCTTATATAAAGAAGCCTCATTTGCGCAACCATATCCCCACTTGAGGCGAAGCCTTGCTCAACAACAGTCAATACAAGCCTCGTAGACCAAATACCGTCATTCCCTTGACAGCACAATGCCCCTTAGAAAACTTACATAGATGGTGACGCCAGTTTACCTTTAGGTACTGCTGTGACAAACTTTATGGTGGTTTGGTTAACGAGGTTTAGACAATTATGGCCAAAGTGCTCACAGTAAGTAAAATGGCAGTAAAAAATCACATACCAGTAACTGTACAACAGTAAACATTTTTCTTCTATCTTTAATCATTCTTAAAAGCGACAATTATTTTAAAGATTTTCTTCTGCAAGCAGGATACTATGTCTTCATAATGGGAGGTGTATTAAGACATTTACTGTTTTTGTTTTGTTTTTTTCTCATGCAAACAATGTAGTTTAATGCAACAGCTCAGCATCGAACACTTCCTGCTAAAACTACATGCACAGATACACTAGAGTGTCGAACAGAAGGTGCTTAATGATCATTATCTTGGGCTAATTGTTATAAGTCGTCAAGCTTAAGCACTGGAGCATACTCTCTTTTACATTACATTGACTTCTTAACATGCATTCCAGTCAATGTACTCACTCTATCAGTGCAGTTCTGGCCTTCGAAGTCGTCTGTGCACTGGCACCTGAAGTGGCCCGGTTCAGGGTCCGAGCAGGTGGCCCCATTCTGGCATGGGCGAAAGCTGCAGTACCAGATGCGCTCCTCACATCTGCAAACATTAGTCCGTGTTAACCGGCAGAAAAGGAAGCCTAAAGAAGCCAGGCCAGTGGTCCCAGTTTGTACCAGGAGAATAATACACAAAAAGGAGGACAATTCATGTGCTGTGTTCCCATTAGTTTACAGGAAAACATTCCCACCTTTTTGTTCTTTAACCAGTGACCATACTGAATAAAACTCACAGCTCGCCGGTGTAGCCAGCAGGGCAGTCACACCGGAAACCTCCATCCAGATTGATGCATGGTGCTCCTTGGTGGCAAGGGTTCGTCACACACTCATCCACATCGAGTTCACATCGTTCACCCTCATAGGCTGGTGGGCAGACACAGGCATATGAGCCTCGCGAGTCCTGGCAAGATCCACCGTGGGTGCACTGATCGGATCGACAGAGAATGCAGCCTGCCATCGGCTCGTCCACACCAAGAAGCTCAAATCGGTCCCAGGTGGTGGTGCCGTTGGTTCCAAGACGGTCTGATGTGAAGAATGGCAAGAGGACACTGCCAAGGCGCACTTCCTCGAGGCAGCCCTCAAATGGAACCACGCCTTGTCCTCGAGAGGAGACTTCAGTGGTGTCACCAGCGAGAACAATGTTTTCTAAAAGGTCTGACAAGCTTATAAATCCGTTATCTGTCCTGAGGAGTGTCTGTGCTTCACCCGGAACAAGAGTGGCATTTACAGTGGTGTTGCTGATGTTCACACGCAACTCCTGCAACAGAGACAAACTTCAGCAACATTCTGAAATGGATATGACAATAAACCGATTGTGTGGAAAAGGTTGTTATAGGCGTTCGGTGGCCTTTATAAAAAATTGTGCAGCAGAAAAATGCGATTGTGGTTAGTGTACTGAGTACAGGAAACCCTCTTAAATCTGTATGTACTGGCATGCACACATGTAAAAGCACTGATATGTCATAGCTTGCACCCAATTCCCTGCGTGAAATGTATTCATGGCTAAAGTGTCTGCCAATCACCTTGAGCTAAGAAATTTGTTACATAGTGGCACCTGTACACAACTCTACAATGCACACACAGAAACAAGTTTTTGAAATGGAGCTGAACTAGCATAGTTATAGGCATTTGGTGTACGACTCCAGGGCATTTCATATTGCCCTTCTGGCAGTGTTTACTCCAAAAATAAAAACGCACAAGTGTAGCACATACCTATGAACAGTCTAGTTAAACAAATAGAATAAATAGGCCACTTTTTAGAAACTAGATTGATTACCTGGTAGATTACCACTACATGCCTATTACATTGAATATGATTAATTATTACTGCATGCCCATTAGAACATATTCACTAACAACCAATGTTCTAGACATGCTGCTATGTACTCTCTGACCAAAGACAGGAGCTTGGATGAACTTCATCTTAATCAAGGCTTTTGCTATACCTTGATGAAGACAAGTACACTTGTCAAAGTGCTGGCTCTAGCAGCACAGTCCCTACATAGTTCAATCATTTCTCACCACTTATACACTCTCCATTTGTTATTTCTCCAAGCATATAGTTTCACTGATATCACGGCTGACCTAGTGCAGTGGCATCTAAGAATATCTTTCGTGAAACCGTCAACTAACATAAAAAGTAAGTGACTTTAGATGAAGAGAATGTCTTTGAAGTACATTATAATATGTACTTTGTATACTGCAAAATCCTACTACACAGTCATTTTCTTGAATGTACCAAGTTCCTGCACACAGACCATAGCAATCTTTCACCTGTATGAAGTTCTTGCTTGAACTACTCTGAACTAAATTTCCATAAAATTACCACCACATATCTACACAACTCACCTGCCACTCTCCCTGCGTGACATTGGTTCCAAAGCGCAGTATTTGTTCTGCACTGTTGAACTGCCAGCGAGCTTCCACTTGACTGTCAACTAACGATAGAGAAAAGAAAGGGCTGCTGCCTGAGCCAGAGGCCAGCCATAAGAGGTTGCCGTTCGGTGACCTTGTGCGGAACCGCATGGACACGCTGTCCAACCTGGGCTCACTTGATAGAAATGCCCGATAGCGAAAGGCCACTTTGCGGTCGGCATCGAATGTGGCTGAAGACATACCTGCAGATACACCAAAGAGAAAATATGTGGGACCTCAAGATTCTGCATATTAGCTGCTACAGTTGCTACTGAATAGTGGCGAGAGTGTTGAGACAACGTAGTAAGAAGCAGCAGCTGTATGCAGCCTCTCTTTATTCACACACTGAATAAAAAAAAGAAGGATACCAATAATTACAAAAAAAAAACTGGGTTGGATAATATATATGACCATTTCCATTCTGACCAAGTGCAAAACGGAAAAAGTCTACAACTATAAGTTGAGCATTCCATTAGCTTGCCAGAAGTTAACAAGCATTTAGATACCTTATTCATTCCACTATGCTTGCACTCGTGCAGCTATAGTCCCAACAGCTACATAAAGCAACCAAGTAAAGCTTACATCAGTCAGGGCGAAACTGCCGGAAAGCGTGTCACACATCCTGAAAAACTCACACTCGAATCCTTGATCCAAATCTTGGCAAGTGCTTTCTTCTGGGCACCCATTAAGAACACATGGTTTGACCTCCTCACAGCGGTTACCACGATAAGAAGGTAGGCAAACACACCTGCAAAAAATAAAAAATTGAATAACCACAAATGTAGAGGGTGTGCATGAAATCCTGGAAGACATCAAAAACACCTTAAATAGTAATAATCAAGTGACTCTTAAAAAGAAGCTGGAAAGAATACAGAGACTAGCGGCACGATTTATTTGTTCAACGTGCCGAAGAAAGGAATCAGTCAGACTGATGTTACGGAGATGCAATGTTACGTAGAAATAAATATAGGCTGAAAGTATTCTTCCGAATAATGCAAGATCAACTTAAGATAGACAAGCTCAAATATTTACATGCTCTAGGCAAAAGAAATCCCCGAACTGACCACGATTGCATCATAAAACCATACCAAACTAATACTAACACGTTTTGATATTCTTTTTTCCCAGATGCCATAGAAATGTAGAACCCACTGCCGAACAATATTGTTGTTTTAAAAGATTTTAATGACTTCGAAGAAGGTGTAGAGGCACATTTACGTGATTGTTCAATTGAATTGTTTTTTTTCAGTGCCAAGTGATGTAAGCGACTTCATTTTCAAAGCAAATATTTTGAAAAATGATAGTATATTCTAGATTGTTCTTGATTTGTTATTTTGAATCCTGAATTGTTATTTAGGAGAATGCCAGTTTTCCTTATGAATTGTCAAAATATTGCAAAACTTCACATTCTTTGTGTACATCCTCTCTGTTATGGCCCTCTGTGAGGGCTGACAGTACTGCCAAATGATTAATAAATAATATCCAGGTTTTTACATCCAAAAACCACAATATGATTATGAGGCACGCCGTAGTTGAGGGCTCCGGACATTTCCACCATCTGGAGTTCTTTACCATGCATTGGCATCCCGCAGTACACAGTACTCTACCTTTTAGTCTTCACCGAAACGCAACCACCACCATAGCTGATATTGAACTCGTGAACTTTGCGCCAGCAGCCAAGCACTGCAACCTTTAATCCAGCGTAACAAACAACACTTGAAATACATGGACCTATATGTCCCTTAAGTTTCCTTGTTTTCTGCATGTTAGAAATAAAACTATTTTCCCTATATAAAGCAAATTTATAACTGAAGGGCAAGGCGTTTCTCACTATATTTCAATCTAGAAGCCATTCTGAAGGCTATCTTGGCAATGCGATTAGAAAACAATGCTACTGTAGCGAAGCCTTATACTACACAGTCTGTTGTCCTCTCCAGTGCCTTCTAGTAGGTCGCCCCCTTCGAAAAAGAAGCCAAGAGCCCGCCAATAAACGCCTGAACACTATGTTTACATGTTAGTCTTCCTGGATGAAAAGTTTGACAAAAAAAGATCTAGACAAACAAAATCAGTTTAAAAATAGTCAAAACATGCCACATCCTTTCTCGTGCAAAAGTGGTCAATAAAAAAGGTACCTACTGCATAATTTTGGCCACTTTCTTTTACATGATGACACTTGAAAGCTTTCTCTTATTGATTACCAGTTTAGAGCAGCCAAGCACCCTTCCAAGCAAACTGAGATGCTTGCCTTAATCTATTTCTCAACATGCTACATTATCTGTACTGTATAGTATTCCAGGTCTAGATTTTTAAGAATTTTCTCAATGCTGCTTGCACCCTTCTTAAACTCTTGCAGGATTAAGACTGCTGCAGTCTTCACTGATGTCCAAGAAAAAATTTAATCTTCAGGTATCTCTCAATATAACACAATGAATGCATTGCACTTCATTCTATGGCTGCATCTGAGAATGTTGTGCAAGAAGTTACCGCATAACAAACTTATTGCATAGACACACAAGATCTTTGCAATGTCCTTGCTAAAAGCTGGATGACGATGAGTTCAGACAATGCCGGCCTTCCAGCATCAAGCAAAGCTTGGAGCTGACTGCTATGAGTTTTCAGGACAATAAAATATATTTTTTCAGTTGTCCATCTTCAAACCAGAGTTCCTGCACCATAATCCTGGTCCATTCTGCGTGGTTCACCGCAGCAGTAAAAAATGTATTTCTCAAATGTTTTTCTGTCCACTATGATGCAGCTTACTTGCAGGTCTTCAATAAAAAAAATGATAATGTCTCTGGTGCATGAAGCCAGTGGTAATCACTGATCATCTATTCTTTGCACACACATCATTACCTCTAAAAATAGGGCATGCGCTGATTCCTGGCCACATAAACAGTCCACACAGCTATGTCCAAACTTGCAGAGGCAGTGTACACTTTTCTGCCCTCTCATTTCCCACTCCATTTCATATAGCATGCATTTACACAAAGCTATCTAAACTGTACGACTAGGCAGTGTTCTCTTGACTCTTCACATTTAAAGGTCCCCCTATTGCTCAAGTCCCACTTTTATTTGTGGGTAAAGTGGAGTAATAGTTGGAGATATCTTTATTATGAGTAAAAACATCAATACCAAAATATTTACTACTTAAATCTGGCAAGAAAATAACTAAAGCCATGCAAATAGCAAAATTTTAGGTGCAAAGCGAATTCAAATATGTATTAAAGTGCGAGTGTAAATGAAATCAAATATTCTTAGAATATCTTTCGAATACATCAAAGTGAAATTGCAGAAAAAGAACAGTTAGCATATATTTAAGCATATTCTTATGACATAGCAACATGACAGTGTTCTTTTCACTAAGTCAGACGTGCAACAGCCAAAATAGAATTTGAAGCAATTTTCGGAGTAGCAAAATGTTACTTTTGGAGCACTAAAATCCATATATTAGAGCACGTTACGGGGAAAAAATATTCATTTTTTATCACAAAAGACCACATTTGAGACAGTATGAAAAACGAGTATCTACATAGAAATTGATATTTACAAACAATTCAATATCCCCTAAATTATGCAGAGTAATTATGATCACTGCTATTTCAATAAAACTAGTGATTTGAACCACCCCAGCCAGCAAACAATGATAACTTTTTGCCAGTAACTTTTTAGATATCACCTATCATACTAGCACTCACAGTTATGGGGCAGATACACGAGTGAGTAACAGAACAAACTAACTGTGCTGTGTTCCGTGACTAGTGCTACCAACCCCTTCCAAATTTTAAAATAACTTTTCACAGGACACCAGTGTACTGCAGCGAAGGTGGCTTAAGTGGCATTCTGCACCTGGTTGGAAAAACGTCAAGAAATTTTCGAACCACTGCACTCCCCACTCCCCCCCCTTTTTTTTTTCATGATGGGATTAGGTTTATGGCACAACTTTTCAGCTCGCTTGTGCTTGCAAGGTGCGTCAACTAGATGAAGTAACGATGACATGCGCCCGTTGACCCGGCGAGGGCACCGGATATGCATCGCATGTGTCGTTGCTCTGGCAACTCATGGTTGCCGGCAACGCGGGCGTTTGCAGCACTATGAGTTTGTTCGGGTGCAGTAACAGCGGCATATGCTTCCAGCTTTGGTTCCTAACATGACATAGTTAAGTTTGCTGACTAGAAAACTCATTTTCTGTGAAGTGTTGCTGACTAAGGCAACCCATTTTTGTCTAGAAGTTGCGTCGTCCCGCCAATAATTATCCGCTACGGTCAGCGAACCGATGGGCGCCTGGCATTGTTACTTTATCTGAGCAATCACATTTTGCAAGTGTCCTGGCCTTATCGTGGTTTATGATTAGGGCTGCATACCTGGATCCCTGGATTGATTGATGACGCAAACTACAGGTCGCCAACGTGGCCTCCATTTTTCACTAAAATTAGCACAATTGAGAAAATTTTGAGGCTGGTCGGTCATTTTGGCGCAGCGTGGTGCGATTTCGGCAAATTTCATGGTTTTGGCACAACTTGGTGCAAAAATAGAGAATTATACCAATTTTGCACAATTGGCACAGCTGTGCACCCCTGCTAGGTTGACGAAGCCAGAACGGGGTGGTGTTTGACAGTTGTCTTATCAAGGATGGGGCAATTCAGAGGGCAAATTATGTACACGATTTGGTGCAACCAAAGTGTTGCCGACAACACTTGGCACGTGAAACGCAAAGGTGCTATTTCCTCAGCGTCTCCTCCTCTTTCAACTTCTACAGAAGCCCAACTGATGTGGTGTAAAGAAGGGTGTGCTATCTGCACGTCCAGAGTTCCAAATCTGCCTTGTATATGCCAAAATGTAAGAATATCTGAAACTCTGGACACTAAAAATCTTCGGAGTGTGATTTTTCAAATGTCCCGTCCGAAACAGCATTAATTGTGCCCCCCCCCCCCAGTGCTACTTCTATTATCTCTATGTTAGAACCAGCATTTTCTTGAGCCAATTCATTAAGACCGAAGCAAGGCCTAGAAAATTAGCCATAATCTGCATGTTACACTGGACATGTCGTCAAAAGACGATAGCCCTGCGTCTGGAGAGAGTGAACAAAACCTTTATTTGATGTTCTGCGCAAGAAAATCGGTGAATGGTATTCTGCAGGCACTGCGTTAGAGTGCCTCGAGCGTGTAGCCGAGGCGAACAAGCGCATCTAGGCACGTAAGACACGAGCGGCATCTGGCAGTTATCTTCAAAAACGAAGGCGTGTGCGACCACGGAGAAAGATGCGTGCCAGTCTCGGAAGTGATAAGATGTAGAATTCAAAGCGACGGGCAGGTGCCACCACCATGTCATCGTAGCAAAGTGTTGGAAACACCTTCTTGAGCATCGCGTTGCACTGTCAGCGCAGCACGATAAACGCTACAGTCCTTAGAGTTACTTGTGTGTGCCTCTTCAAGAATAAAGGCAGACATACAAAACACAGACGTGTTGTTATGGCACCTCAAATATTTGCAATATTTGCTTTTTTAATTGACAATCGCACAACTATGAACGCTAAACCTTGAGCAATATTGGTGGGCGCTGCAGATGGGGTTGGTCGTTTGATGCAGTTTGAGGTATCGTTAGGGTGGACAAACAGACAAATGTGCAGACAGGCAGGCAGGCAGGCAGACAGACAGACAGACAGACCAAAATTTTTCTGTCAAAGGTCCCCAAGAAAGACTATTGTCTTTAAAAGTAGCTATGTTGCAATACAGTTGTCTGACGAGGTGA